GTGCTACTTTTTTTTTGCTGCACAGCGCTTAGCTCAGAACCTAGCCTAGCCTGCTAGCTTAGCTCCAGTCACCCACAGCTTAACCTGGCTAACTGTGCTGCGATTGGTTTGTGCGAACTGTTCCGCTTTTGCAGACAGGGTGTCTCTTCTTGTCATTTAGAACAGCTCATCTATGCCAGTGTTTGAACTGCGGCTGTGGTAGCATTAGCACAGCCTTGTCGGCAGTTTCTCCAGAAGGATGAAGATCAGAAAAGGAAAGCCTAGCCAGGACATTTGAGTTTGCCTCGAGTTTGAGTTGGCATTGATTGATTGTCTCTGGTCCCTTACCAATGAGGGGTAATGATGAGATGCACAGTAGGCTTATTTCACCCAACCGCTGGCTGCTGAGAGCGGACGGCCTTCACCCTACTGGAATGGCTGCCGCTACTTTATCTAGGAACATAGACAGGTGCTGACAGGTTTGACATTAGCACTCAGCAGGTCACAGAGAGCCTGCTAGGTTGTTAGTTGATGTAGACTCAGAGTCGACTAGCTTTGTTAATATATGAAATCTTCACAGTGCAGACTGTGAGACTGATGGTCTACAACACTGACGCTGTCTCCCCTCCTCCGGCGTATTACTCACAGCTTCTCTTTCCACAGATATGTGAATCACAAACATCTGATTGTCATCTGCTGGAAGTGGTGAAATGTCCCACAAAGCACCCGATAAAGTGGGTGCAGAATACCTACAGTCATCACAATTGTGGTGTATCCCTGTTTTTCTTCTACTAATATATAGTTTCTTTTCCAATTAATACGTAATGTACAAGCTGTTCTACAGAAGGCAGAAGGATTGTTGAGCTTATAAATTAAATTAGTCTTTGTTAATGTTATTAGTAACCCCTGTACTTTTCCTACTATGTCAAAATGCTTGCTGTAAAGTGGCAATCAGGAACAAGAACTGCTAATATCTAATGAGGTATGACTTTCAATTACCAACAATTAGGCAAAAAATATATATTTTGGTTTCATAAAAGCTCATCCAGAACATTTGTAGTACAATTTACATGCAAACTGAACTGAAAGAGCGTATTGAGAGGGGCGCTCCGGCAGCTCACCAGGTAGAGGACGTACCACGGCCCAAGGCCTTTTCTGCTGCACGTCATCCCTTCTCTCTCCCCTGCCTTTCCTTTCTCTCTCTGACTGTCCTGTCGAATAAAGCAAAATGCCAAAAACTTACAAAAAAAGCTGATTGAGAGTTTGCCTAAAGCACTAAAATTATCCAGGTCTCAGCATCTGATTTTACCATAGATAGCACCACTGCAACACTAGCAGGTCACGTGTCACGATTTAATTATACACCCTGAAGACTTCATACATTCTTTCATTCACTCTGAGGGAGAGGAGAGCAACAGCTGACAGACAGTTTGCAATGAAAAATGACTTTGATAGATCACAGTACATGTGGATGTAAATTAGCTCACTGAGCCTTGTTTTATGCTGTATTCAACATTAAATCAGAAACATTTAGGAGAAAACACAAGTGTCTCAAGCTGAGAAATCACAGTTCTTGTGGTTCCTGTAGATGTGGTATCACCCTCTGTACACACCCTGATGTGTAGTTGAATTGTGCCAGTGCATCTTATTTATATAAGACACTAAAAAACTGGCTAAAACGGCTTCACAATCTGTACAGCATACAACGCCTCCATATCCTCTGACCTTCTGGACATACATAATATTGTCCTTTGTGTCAATGTCCTTGGTAACAGTAAGACTCCTGTATTATACAGATTTAAAAAGATATTCTCTGTCCACTCCACATAATGTTCTGATCAGGCTTTCAGGAGGTAATTACACAGAATGAACAGAACAATAAAAAACCTGGTAGACTATAATGTAACCCAATACCAGAGTCTTGTAATACTACCTTTATGAAACATATGATTTACTGTTGGCACTGTGTCTGATGATGACTGGATCCAACTCTATTGAGTATGTGCTGCTTGTATTAAATCACACTGATGTTTCTAATTATTTCCTCCTCCATATATGTACATGAGATAGACACAATATTAGACCTTAAACTATAATGCAGTTCAATACACAACGGCCACGTGTATTTAACCTGTTGTTTTAAATACATTGTAGAAGAGAAATCTGACTACAGGCAGAATCCATCACCATTAAAGCTGAATTGATTCAGATTTTTATATTAGGTCACACCTTTTATTCTCCTTCAGCTCTGTGTTTTGCTTTTACATCCTACAGAATTAATGTGTAGTTCAGTCTCATCAACCAGCAGCTGCAGCAACAAGCTGAAAATAAAATAAGTAAAATATCTTGCAAGTAAAAAATGGTGGAGACAAAAGCAGAGCCAAAAAGGAAAGCAAACACTTGACTTATATTGATCAGGTGGTGATAGAGAGGACTCTAATGGGATGTTAATATGGTTGTGTTGTTAGCAAACATATTTGCCATCATATGATATGTCATATGTGTGTCTGTCAGCTTATTTTAGACCACTTCTGTCCCTCAGAAGACAAAATTTGCATTCTTAAATCAAGATTCCCACATAATTTTCCAGGACCATTCCAGGACATTATCCAGGAGTTTTCTTGACATTATAGGACAGCACTTGCTCACAAATAGTCATATAATTTACCGGTAGCCCTCGTAGGTGGTCAGCGTTTATTGGACACTTGGCTTGGCTGGACACTTTTGTGACGCACATGGCTGTTCTCACTATGTTTCCGTCGCGGTCTCAGCGGAGCGGTTTCCAGCAAATTGACTACAGTTCTGTTCTACTTCCTCTAGTTCAAATCAAGTAGAATTTACTCTATTTTACAGAAAATTCATCTTCTAGAAAGTGAAAGTGATTGTTGCAGGTTCAATAACATTGCTCTCTATGTATTTATCAACCACAGCAACAAATCTGCATGTAGATATGATATATACCATTTCCTCAGAATTACGTTCACAAGTTCTCAAAAATTAGACTTGACGTGTCTGGTAATACTTACGTTTAGGTGGTCAATCTGAGTGAGGGGCTAAAATACAATTAAAATTTCCAGGACAACATAAGAATATTTCGAGGATATTTGGTCATTTCCAGGTATTTTCATGACTGGAAAACTAGTGTATACATTTCAAGCTTTTCCAGGATGCGTGGGAACCCTGTTAATATATGTGTGGGCATGTTTGAGTGACAGAAAAGATGAGAAAACCAAAAGAAATTAGTTATGTGAAACAAGTTTAATTGGGGTATAATAACATGGGACTGGTCTGACTGCAAATCATTACTGCAATTAAAATGATTATAATGTGGCAACCGTTCTGCCACATCCGGCAACCAAAAGCAGAAGGAGGCAACTTGCATCAGACGAGTCTGAAGATCCCAATCCCCGATTTATCTGGATTTTTATCTGTAGATAAATAGGTTGGTGTACTACGCTGCTTGTGTGCTTTGCAAACAGATTTGCCAAACTGTTGCATAATCCCCGACTCTCATGTAGCAAAGAGGGAATGAAACAGACGTCTTCACTGGGAGTCTGCTGTTTATCTTGTTACTGAACCAGTTTTCTACAGAACGTGGAGGAAAATCCCTGAGCTGATGTCATGAAGCAATCTGCAATAACACTCTGAAGGTGACCCAAATCCAGCCGCAGCAAGATCCGGCAACGGCGGAGACAAAACAATTCAAATTCAAGTGAATGTGCTTTCCCTGAATTATAGCGAGCATTAAAGTAGAGTTGTCAACAGAGAGGGATTATCTAAAGAACAGGCAATCGAAGGATCTTGTAAGAGTACAATGCAAATACGAGGAACCGGCAACAACCACGCAGAAGTACAAACAGCAGAAAAAGCCCCACTGTAATCTGTCTTATTGAATAGACATATGCTAGAAAAACACACAAAATACATGGGATGTGTTTGCTTTCACATACATTGACTCAGTGTTCACATCACGACAAAAGCAAGAAACCAGTCAGCACTTATTTCAACCACTAATGTACAAGTATGCTAAATACTAATATATTATATATAGGCTTGATCTTAAAGTGGTACGCCCTCAAAAATTTAAGTAATGTGAGATTTGTTTACTTTTCTGTCCCACATGAATGAACAGTTTGTTTGGCTACTGGTCTGAATTGGGTAAGCAATTAATTTTGGGCTCCGCTATTACATTTAGGGCTGTCGCGATAACCGCAATAATTAAATACCGCGCTGTTGGCAAGCTAACTGCAGGGGATGGCAAGCCACCGCCACAACTGCACGTCATATTCAGTGTTTGTTTTTTAAGATGGGAGGGCGTCCCAGAACGGCCAGGCTGAAGAGACTGGGAACACCAGCAGTCAAAAACACAGACTGGGCCGCTCATTATCCCTATAGAGATATATTAATCATGGCCTCCACCCAGGCACAGCACACACTGAACTCTCACTGTGTGTCCTGGTCACTGTTCAGTCTGCTGTGCTGTTATCCTGCGTTGCTCTGTGTACAATGACTCCTCTTTTAAAATATGCAATGATTCGCCAAAATGAGATTCCACTTGGGGGTTTTTCTTGACTGATGATTTGAATCACGGACGTTTAGCGGGCAGCTCGAACAGACACATTGATGATTCAAATAATTGTCACTTGCAGCAACTACAGCATTTCCAAATGGACAAGAGAAGCATTTTTCTGATTGGTGTCTGGTGAAATATCTTTGAAATGTCATAGTGGAAGTTTATCCTACCAACAGTTGAGTTTCAAACAAAAGAGGCATCCAAGTGTTTCCAGGACAACATAGTTCATTTACAGGATATTTGGCCATTTTAATCAGTTTCTAGGCATTTCCATGACTGGAAAACTAGCCTCTAAAGTTTTCCAGATTTTCCAGGACGTGTGGGAACGCTGTTAGTGTTGGGAGCAGCATGGTCATATTGGTTATTCTAGACACTGCACAGAACAGTTATTTCTGTTCTCAACGCACGCAAACATTCGGGTTGGAGTATTCCTTTAAACACTTCTTACCGTGCCGCTCACCCTGACGTCATAAAGTCGCCCCCAGTCATCTTCATGGCTGTCCACCATCATCATACTATCATCTTCCTCCAGGAGCCACTCAGCCTGCAGGTCAACCTTCACCTCCTCGCCCATGGAGTGCATCCCCACGGCGGGGAACAGACCCTCTGCAGACACGGGAACCTCCACCGAACCAACCTGCATGTGAGAGGAGTGTAAAGAAACCACGACACTACACTGCACATATGGATAGTTCTGATAGCACATGTTTGTGTTTATGTAATGATGCATTACCAACGCCTACCTCTTTGCCATTTTTGGTGAAAAAGACTGTTGTAAAGCCTGCTTCAATATTTTCTGAGTGTATTCCACAGCCTATACGGTCACCACGAGCACACTTTGGCCCAAACTGCTGTCCCACAGGGTTGCCATTGTATAACCTAGGAAAAATAAGGACATATAAATCTTTATAAAATAAATGCTATTCAGTTACTGCTAAAGAAATAACCATTTGATTCTTTGTATAAATCATATTATTTGCTGGTTCCAAGTAACTCCAAAAACTCTGATTGACCATAAATCTGAATCTATACTTCTGCTTAGGAAGTCTACATGTGTAGGCCACACTGTAAATGATATGCACCTTCTCAAAAATATAACTACAGTAGCTTCAGAGATACTGCACAAGCAGACCAAGTCAACAACTGTCATTAGTTAGCTTCCTGTTTGTGTTTTTGATATCTGTAGAATATAAAAGTCATTTATCAAGCAGAAAAGCTAAACATTCATTGTTCCAGGCCCTCAGTTATAAGGATCTGCTGCTTTCTTTGGGTTTGAACTACTCGTTAAACACTACACTATAGTCTACTACTCTAAATTTATAGACTAAATGATTCAGAAAAAATAAAAAACAACAACAAATGAATCTATAATAAAAAATAATCTTTTGCTGAGGAGAATAACACAGGGAATCACTGTAGCATTTATGTGTGGATGCAGCATCAACAGGCCACAATCCATTTACTAAAACCATGGAAGAAACCAATGCTGCACTGTACAGTACAGACGGCTGTGGTTTTACTTACTTGCCGTTGTCAGCGTGGTAAGCTACAGAGTATGGCAGCCAGCCAGGCTGGTGGTCCAGCCTGTAGAATTTAGGCACCAGGCCCACAGCAATGGTCCCCCTCACCCCTGTGTCCACTATTGTCACCTACACACACACACACAGTAAGCACAACTGTGGCACTAGTTAGCGACTTTGACCGACATGGAACAGGACTACATGCAAGGTTTTTCTTTAATAGCATGAATTTAACCTTAATACTGTGAGAACCCTCAATTAAAAACTCATTAAAAGA